CAGGTAACAACTGCCCTAATTCCAGTTCCAGGGGAACTGACAGCCTCTTCTGTCCTCCTCGGGCATTGCACGACATGGGTGCACTTAACCTACATGCAGGCAATACACGCATACACATAAAATAAAAATAATTTTTTAAAAAGCATTCTCTTACTTCTTTAGTAATTGGTGTTGTTCATCAAAATTTATAGGATATGTATATTTTAGAAGAAAATACATCTAACCTTGTAATTTTGCTTCAATTCCATCTTTGTTCAATCCAGATATAAAACCTGTATAAATCATGAACATTTATAAAAAATAAATCACAATGATTTAATTACTTTGTAGATTCAATTTATGTTCCATGTAAATAACTGTATCTAACTCTCATAGAAATAGAAAATAGCTTAATTAGTTCAAAAAGGCTTAACTATCTAGCACATACAACTACTCTTTTAAAATCTTGTCTCTATAAATTGGCTATATTTTGTTATTTATATTGTATTAAGTGATCATCAACACAGAATTTTAACAAGAACTACGTAGAAAAAAATTTTAGATTTATTTTTATTATTTTTAATTATGTGTCTCTGTGTGTATATATATACATGAGTGCAGGTGTCCCTAGAAGCCAAGCATCAGATTCTCCCAGAACTGAGTTACAGGCACTTCTGAGCTACCTGATGTCGGTGATAAGAACCAAATTCTGTTTCCCTGCAAGAGCAGTATGAGTTCTTAACTACTAAGTCATCCCTCCAGTCCTTAGAACATACGTCTAATGCTATATACATAATCTCTGTCAAGGGACAAATATTTTCTAATACATTTTCATTATAAAATGGATGTTCCTATGAAAAAGCGGTAATACAACCATTCTGGTAAACTGGCTACTTACTGAAATTGAAAATAATCAGATTATATAACATTATTTCATTTCTATGGGTATATACAGGACATATAAGTTCTTTCTTGCAGCAGATGTTGATGAGATTCACAACTGGTCAATGTGCAAAAATAAGAGACTGTGGAGTGCTCAGCCCTAAATGAAACATCTATAACACACCCTCTCCTCCTCAGATACAAAGTGGGTATGGAGCTCAGAGGTTAAGAGCTTGTACTGCACTTGCAGAGGACTGGAGTTTGGTTCCCAAAACCCATGTTGGGCAGCTCACAATCACCTGTAATTTCAGCTCCAGGGGATCTGACACCTTCTTCTGTACTCTGAGGGCATCTACATTCAACACGTACATACATCTGCACATAGATACACGCATATACACATAACTTTTGAAAATGTCAAATGATACAAAGGTAAAATGGAATATTAACGATTTTTAAAAGCTTCCATAACAGTGTGGAGGGAGGTTCCTCAAAACACTAAAATCAGGGGGCTAGAGAGATGGCTTATCAGTTAAAAGCACTTGCTGTTTAATCATGAGGACCTGAATTTGGATCCTGTATCCACATAACAAGGTGGGAATCCTGCACACACCTATAACCCCAGCTCCAAAGGGGATGGAGACAGGAGGATCACTGGGGCTTGCTGGCTTCTGGTCTACCTGAGAACACACAAGTCCCAGGTTAAAAAGAGATCCTAACTCAGAGGAATAGACAGATTGAAGATAGAGGAGAATATCTGATGTGGGATCCTAGTCTCCAATTATTAATATAGTTACACTGTCTATATATACACCTGCATGTACACTCAGAAACACACAAATAAATAAATAAATAAATAAATAGAACTAAATTATGACCCATTTATAGTCAAAATACAGAGAGATACTTGCACATTCATGTATATTGCTGCATTCTTCACAACAGCTGAAAAATTGAACAACCTAGATGTTGGATGAATGGACAAGGAAAATATGGAACACATGCACAGCGGAATATTTCCAGTCATAAAGAAAAGTAAACTTTAAATCATCATTTGCAGGAAAATGAATGGAACTAGAGATTAAGTGAAATAAGTCAGAATTGGGAAGACAAATATCATACTTTCTCTCATATAAGTAATTCAGAATTAAATTGTGTGTGTGTGTGTGTGTGTGTGTGTGTTTTCAAAGCAGAAAAGGAGAAAGGAAGAAGGAGGAAGAGATCATAAGGGGAAAGGGTGATGCAATTCATGTGACATGAGAGCAGAAGGGAGGACTATGTGGGGAGAGCTAAAGGTTCAGCAGTAAGATGGCTGGGGAGGTAGAATAGCAGTGGGGGTGGAGGAAAACTAAGAAAAAGGGATAATGATATATATTTATGAACATATAATGAAATCATCACTTTATATACTAACTTAAAAACTAATTTAACAGGGCTGGAGAGATGGCTGAGTGTATAAAAGCACTGGCTGCTCTTACAGAGGATCCAGGTTCTATTCCCAGCACCCACATGGCAACTAACAACCATCTGTAACTCCAGTTCTAGGGGATCAGACACCCTCTTCTGACCTCAGGCACTACACAGCAGGGCACACTTACATGCAGGCTGTACACTCATACACATAAAATAAAGATAATATTTAAAAAACTAATTTAACAGATATCTTCCAAGATAAACTGGGCATAAGTACAAAGAAAGGAGTAGAATAGCAGCAGTTCAAAATATGCTCCTAGCCATGCATGGTAGTATGCACCTGTAAATGCTAGCACTTGACCACTTGAGAGGCTGGGGCAAGAGATTTGATTCAGGGCCAGTCAGGCCTACATAGCAGAACCTTATCTAAAAAAAAAAGTCCATAACTATTTTTAACATTCTTTTCTCTAAGAGGTGAATCTAATACCTTTCCCCTTCATGTAACCAGGACTTAGTAACTTGTTTTTTAAAATGCAGAAGTGAAAATGTGTGGTAAAGAAATGTGGTTTCTGACTTAGTCACTCTGTTTTGGATTAGTCATCCTGAAGGAAGAGAGTTCTAGGAAAAGTCCACATGAAAAAATCTAAGACCTCCAACCAAGAGCTCCAAGAGTTAGCCTTCTTGAATGAGAATCTTTTTTTAAAATTAATTAATTAATTAATTAATTAATTAATTAATTAATTAATTAT